TTTTAAGTGCAAGTTTTGCACTTAAAAGAACATAAGGAACATTTATTATTTACTAAATCTTCAAAGGTGCCTTCTTTACACGGACATGAAGGGATTTTATTTAATGTTTATGTGGAACATATAGTGCAGTTTATGGCTGAATCTTTACATGCTTTGCAATTAAAGGCACATTTTTGGCATTTTGCCTACTTTTTATCATCAAAAAAACCTTCAGGACATTCACAAATGGGCTTATTAATTCGATTTTCGGCACATTCAATGCAATTATCAGCTGTATCTTAACATTTAGAACATTAAATCTAACAAGAAATGCAAGCAGATTGTATAAAGTCATCGAATTTACCATCTGGGCATGTACAATCGGGAGCATTTATCCTTACGTCAGCACATGTTTAACATTGAGTCAAACTTGTACATGTGGAACAATTAGGAGAACATTTAGGACATGTGGAAGTTGCTAAGTCTTTGTAATAACCAGGTTATGGAGTACATTCACAAACTTCGTTTTTAACAAAAATTTATTATTTTAAACCAAATATATCGGGTTAATGTTGCTTTAAATGACTACTGTTCCAATTTCGGTATTTTATTATAAGTTTTTTGTTTATGTTATCAATTACTTATTAATTAAAACTATATTTTAAAAATTTATAATTGGCATCTACTTCTTATAATTAAAATTAATTGCTATATAAAAATATAGTCTCTGGTTGTATATTTTCAGTAAATTATACTTCTTTATCAACTATTTAATCATCTAAAGTCCATTTAAATTGATCAGAGTCCATATTAACAAGTTTATTTTATACATTTGAAGGTGTTGCGATCCAATTGATCCTTAATAGTTAGGGAATGCATATTGGGAATATTTTAAGTTTTATAGTAAATTATTTATTTGTTATTAAATCTGCGTACATTTATATTTTTATTGAGCTATATCCTTTTGTTTTACAGACTAAAAGCCAGACCAACTAATAAATACTTTTGGGATAAATTACTTTGGTTTTTAGAATTTAACTACTTTATGTATCCAATATCCATCCAAATCTGTTTATTTACTCTCACTTTAAGATAATTCAGTTTGACTTAAAACTAAATTATTCATTTCTAAGTCTTTTTCTATAGAAACTGTATAATTTAATCCAATCCACAAATAATAATTTGATTTTGAATATTATCTTTTTACATTAATAGTCAATCCTGTCGTAGTAATATCTTAAACAAAAACATCAATAAATATAGGTAACTTCAACAAAAAATCAATACCATATATTGATAAATAGACCTATGGAACCACAGGAAACGGTTAATTGAAATTAACTTTAATTAAATATGATGAAGATTAATTACTTGCCCCTTTTTACCCAATAAATTATGTATACAAATTTATTATATCCTTAACTTAACAATTATCATTTTATTTTGTTGAAATAACCTCTGTACAAACATTATAAGGCTATGTATGTGGTTCAAGCAGTTTTTGTCTTTTACAAGAATAGTATCCAAATGTACATTTCCCATTATTCAAAATATATCCATCTCTACAATAAGCGCATTCTTAATCATCAAGAATTTTACCTGAATGGAGTAAACATTCTACAATGCAAAACTATGGATCATTTAAGATATTTGCTTTTTATTATTTGAAATACGAGCCTTCAAAAATCTTCAAATCTCTCATATAATAATTTCCTTAGAAATTTACATTATTATCATTTATTTTATATTATCGTACTTTGGCATCATTTTAAATAACACTTCCTATTGAATCTCTTAATTTCATATCTCCATTAACAAATATTTCTAATACAGTCTAAGTCGCATCTGGAAATTTGCTAAAAGAAATTATTACTGAATGTCCTTCAAAGCCTATTCCATTTATAATCTGACTTTATTTACATTCAATGCTAATGCAAGCAATAATAACATAAGATAGAATCTGATTACATTTCATGTTTAATACTGAGTAGAACCTAACTTTTTTCATCTAAAACTATAAAACTTGAAATTTGAAAAGGAAATGATGAAGGTTATAAAGTAATTTAATAAGATATTGTCATTTCTTCATAAATTTAGGTGTTCATTGATTACGCAAAACTTCCGCTTTTGAATTAAAGTTCCAAATAGGAATCACTTAACTATCTTTTATTCCATACAGGATCTACTTTAGATTCATATTTGAGATTATTTCCTAAAATAAAATGATTCATTTATTTCAATTTATCTTCTATAAATTAAGGTTTTAAATTATTTGCAGAAGTTAATGGAAAAAAAGCCTTCAATTTTTAATTTGAATGCCTAAATTCAAAAATTGAATCAATAATTTATTCATATTCAAAATTTAAAGAAATAATTACTTATTTCATTTAAGAACAAGAGGGATAATATTCAGGGACTCCATCTAAGTAAAGTCTAACATTAATAAATGAACTAAAATCTGGAGGTGCATTTATTAAAATTCCTGAAACACTTAATGGAGTAGTTTAATCTGCTTGTAAAGTGATCATTTTATATTTTTTTTCTTAAAAATCGATTGAGAACATGTAAAAAGACCATTTATTTAAATAATCATCAAACTTAGTAAAGGAAATATCTATTTCATTATTATATTTTGAAGAAAGTATATTTTAGCCAGTATTTCTAACAAAAAAGCTAATATTCTTCTAAATCTATCAGATTCTGGTTAACCTTCATTTGATAAATTTTTTTTTTTTGTATCTGCGGATAAATAAAATATCGTTTAATATTAATTAAATATTTTTTGATTTCTTATTATTTTCCACCAACCTGAAATTGTTATTTTATTTGAAGAAATTAATTATGCTCCGCCTAAATTAGTAAACTTTTTAATGGATAATTTTCCTGGGTTTAAACATGAGGCTTGGAATAACTCTTCCTGTAAAAAAAAGTTTTTACAACTATATTAAGATTTAATGTGCAAAATTTGAAAAAAAAGGCATAATATAAATTTAATAGCCATTTATTATTATAAATATAAAATATTTATTAAAATTTAAATAATATTTGAAAAAAATAATTAATTATAAATAAGTAATATATAATTATATTATTATCATAAGGATAATTTTTTTTTTTATAATATAATTATTTATATTTAATTTTAAATAAATTTAGTTTATATTAAGTATAAATTTTATTTTTATAAAAAATTGCAATATATTTTTTTTTATATAAATATATATATTATTAATAATATAATTTTTATATCATATCAAAATTTTTTATTTTTTTCAAAAAAATATTGTATTACATTGTAAATATATGAGTTTTAATCTGTATCTTTTTTGATCTTTTTTTTTTTAAATAAATATATAAACAAACCTATTTATGTAAGATAGTGCAGTTTTTTCACCTCCAAATCGAATTAACCAATTACTTTCGCATCATATTTGGATAGAATCCAACCTATAACAATGGAAAACAATATTTTGGAATTATTGTGGAGTATTTGATATATATTTTTTTAAAAATAATTTAAGTATTTAATTTTTTACAGAGATATGAGTCAAAGTGTTTATTATACTGTAATAGTGTGTATTTATATTTAAAATGTTAAATTAGAGTGAGTATAATGCATTCTTTGAAATAAGTATTCAATTTACATAAGAAATCTTTCGTATAAATAGATGAATTTTTGTGAAAATTAAAATAAAATGAAAAAGTCTCTAAATAAGATTAAGAGGAATATCCTATTTTATAATTAAATTGTCGTTAAAATATATATTTATGTGTAAGCTTTATATATATATAAAAGAAAAATAAATTTAAGATATATACAAGTTAAAAAAGTTGACATATATCGCTAAAATATAAATAAAAAAAATATAGTTCAAATTTGTAATTGATAGAAAAAAATGATAATAAAATAAAATACTTAAAAAATAAATTGTAAATATAAAATTTTATTAATAAAATAAATAAAATA